AAGAGCGTCATGTTGCGCACCTGCTGCTGCTTGTCGCAGGCGATGGACTTGAGGTTCTCGTTCTCATGCTTCTCGTGGAACATGTCACCAATGCCGATGGCTGTCACTGTCACATCGGGGTCGCACAGTGCCCGTAGGTTGAGGTCATCATCACGTGGGTCATGGCGCCCGTCGGTGATGACCACTGCAAACACACGGGTCTTCTTGCGTCGGCTCTCCTTGATGAGCTGGTTGTAGGCGAACTTGAGGGCAGATGGTGTCCAGGTGCCGCCTGCAATCCACTCAAGGTTCTTGACGGCCTCCTTGAAGCTGGACAGGGAGTCGATGCGCTTATCGTCCAGCTGAATGGCCTCGAAGGTGCCCTCATGGCTGTACTGCACCACGCCCACACGTGTCCCTGCAACGGCCGAGTGTGTGAGAGGGGCCCATTCAGAGCTTAGATACTGCCTCAAAGGGACAAGTGAACTGTCCTGCTTGGCCTGCACCCTCCCATACCCAGTGCTGACCTGTCTCTGACTTCGGGTCCTTGGCGATGGCACCCAGCCTGCTGACCACGTTGATGACGAAGTTCTTCTCCAGGGTGAAGTTGGTGTAGCCTATGCTCTCAGAGCTGTCAATGACGAAAACCACGTCCAGGGCACCACAGCGCTTCTCGCAGTCTGCAGGGGTGGCCAGGGTCAGAGGGGAGAAGGGAGGAAGGAGGGCAGGAAGCCTCACCTCAATATCCAGGCCCACCCACCTGCACCTTGGGCAGAGACTCACCACAGCACCCGCAAGTCTCTCTCACGTAGGTCATGACATCACATTCCTGCAACACAGTGTATCAGGGCGTGTCCAGCCCCAGGGAGCAAATTCTGAGAGACCATGAGGGCATTGCCCAGAGGAGCTTCTCAGGAAGAACCCAGGGGACACTGGGCAGGCATCTCCATGGGGGAGGAGCAGACAGTGAGGCTGGCTGGTGCTGCCCCTGCTGCTCTCCCGCACCCCACTGGTGTTGTCCCTGCCAGTCTCACCCTCGGACTCCCCTGCTGACCTTGCCCTCTGACTGTGCTCCTGTACTTCTGCCCCCGACCTCCCACCTTTAGAAGGGGGAAGGATAAGACATCGATCTTGCCCCACAAGCCACCTACCGTGAGGCCAGGGTCTCCGGGAGGGCCAGGCTCACCCTGGAGGAGGAAGGTGACAGTGAGAGGCAAAACTAGGGGCTGTGGTCTAAGGGGCAAGGGGACCAATGGCTGGCTTACCTCCGGTCCTGGGACTCCTCTGGGCCCCCGAAGGCCTGGCTCACCAGGGGGACCAGGATCTGCCTGAGAAGGAAGAGGGTAGGTGGGCTCAGCTGCCATCAGGGAAGGCCCCTCCACAAAGCAGGGGCTGTGCTCCCTCCACACCTATGTTCCCCCTTGGGAGTATCAGCAGTGAGGCCCAGCCGTGTCCCTGCCTGCCCGTCTCGGTGCAAGTGTAGAGAGCAGCCACCTGCACTGAGGGGCACAGGGCCCAGCAGACCTGTGGGAGGTGGGGCACAGCACTCGCCCGACCACAGCTGCTTGCACCCGTGATTGTGGACCCACCGCACTGCCCGTCTGCTGCCCACTGGCTGCCCTGCCAGCATTGAGCTGTGCACTACTCTCTGCCCTTGTCCCGCCCTCGCTCAGTTATCCACCCGGGGACCGAGGACACTCACCGGTTCTCCCTTCTCTCCTTTCCTCCCAGGCCCTCCTTTTATGCCAAAGTCACCTCGGCCTCCCTGTGACACAGGACACATGTTTAGCTCGACACTCCCACCCGGCCCTCCAAGACCTTCATGATCTACCAGGGACACAGGGTACTTTTCATCAGGAAAGGTGTCCATGCAACATCTGCGTGGGTTTCAGAGTGGCCGACCTTTGGTTTGAAAGGACTGGGCGGTGGGCAGCTACTGCCCTCAAGGCTCAGCAAGCACCCATGGGGCTGGCCCTGGACAAGAAAGGGACCCAAGAAGGCCCCATGACATGTGGGTGAATTCCTGGCCACAACTGCAGGCCTTGCAGGACCCCTCACACTCTGAGGGGGAAGGAGCCCGACAATGCACCCCCACGTACCTCAGGACCCCGAGGTCCAGGCTCGCCTTTCTCTCCCTGTGGAGCACAAAGATCAGCTGACTCAGCAGCAGTGCCACGGTGATCAGATCACACAAAAGCCCAAGGCGGGGCACACCTGCCCCCCGGCCTGCCGTGTCCCTGGGTGCCTGGGTGCCTGGGTGCCTGGGTGGACTAGCCTCCATAGTGACTAACCCCTTCCCCTTCCCCCATCCTTCCCTTCCCCTAGGAGGAAATACTGGAACTTCACGTCAAGACCCCCTCCCGCTCTGGGTACCCCATCCCACATGACGACTCACAGGAGCTCCACGGGGGCCTGGGTAGCTGAATCCTGGCCTGCCAGGGTCACCCTAGAGGAAGAGGTTGTGTCAGGTATGAACTGCAGACAGGGTGGGTCCGGGAGGCTCTGTCCACGTGGGACTGTGGAGCACACCAGGTGGCAGCGGACTGGACACTGCTGGGCTGGGCTGTGAGCAGGGCCAGCCTTGCCCTGTCCACCTCTGGGTTAGAGGGTCCTGTGCCAAGAGGCCCAGGAGTTTCCACTGACATGTGGAGACGAGGGCCACATCAACAGGCCCCTTGCATGGCTGGCCTGCCTGTACGTCCTCCAGGGGGCTGAGCCTGGCCTGCCACAGGAGCCTCTTTCTGGAGCAGAGCACAGGAGGCTCAGCCCTGCCTCACTGTCTAAGAGCAGGGCTCCCCCAAGGCCAGTACTCCCATGGGTGCCACCCTGGGTCCCTGCCCATTCTGCTGGGCAGGAAGGGGATATACCTTAGGACCTGGTTGTCCCGAGTCTCCACGGGGCCCAGCATCACCAGGGTCTCCCCGAGATCCCTGAGGGCAGGAGAGAAATTGTGAAGTTGGTACAGACAGGGACTGGCTGAACCCAGGTGTCACCTGACGCACCCAGCCCTTCTCTGACCATCAGGCCATGCTACCTCTAGCTCTTTGAGCTGCCCTAATAGGGACCTTGGACTGGGGGGCCTCCTCTTTGTGTGCCTCATCCAGGCACCAGGTCACCACCCTGACCCCAGCCATATGGCTCATCCCTCAGGCTGGAATGGGCTTTGGTCATGCTGCCCAAGGTTGCTGGGGACAGGAGGGCCCACGTGTTACCCCAGGGTGGGAAGTGGGCTGTGAGGTTCAAGGGAAGAGAGGGCTCCAGAGTCAGCTGCTGACCTGCTTTCCAGGCTCTCCAGGAGCCCCCACCCCCGCGGCGGCGCGCCCCGGCCCCCCGCCCTGCCGTGTCCCTGGGTGCCTGGGTGCCTGGGTGCCTGGGTGGACTAGCCTCCATAGTGACTAACCCCTTCCCCTTCCCCCATCCTTCCCTTCCCCTAGGAGGAAATACTGGAACTTCACGTCAAGACCCCCTCCCGCTCTGGGTACCCCATCCCACATGACGACTCACAGGAGCTCCACGGGGGCCTGGGTAGCTGAATCCTGGCCTGCCAGGGTCACCCTAGAGGAAGAGGTTGTGTCAGGTATGAACTGCAGACAGGGTGGGTCCGGGAGGCTCTGTCCACGTGGGACTGTGGAGCACACCAGGTGGCAGCGGACTGGACACTGCTGGGCTGGGCTGTGAGCAGGGCCAGCCTTGCCCTGTCCACCTCTGGGTTAGAGGGTCCTGTGCCAAGAGGCCCAGGAGTTTCCACTGACATGTGGAGACGAGGGCCACATCAACAGGCCCCTTGCATGGCTGGCCTGCCTGTACGTCCTCCAGGGGGCTGAGCCTGGCCTGCCACAGGAGCCTCTTTCTGGAGCAGAGCACAGGAGGCTCAGCCCTGCCTCACTGTCTAAGAGCAGGGCTCCCCCAAGGCCAGTACTCCCATGGGTGCCACCCTGGGTCCCTGCCCATTCTGCTGGGCAGGAAGGGGATATACCTTAGGACCTGGTTGTCCCGAGTCTCCACGGGGCCCAGCATCACCAGGGTCTCCCCGAGATCCCTGAGGGCAGGAGAGAAATTGTGAAGTTGGTACAGACAGGGACTGGCTGAACCCAGGTGTCACCTGACGCACCCAGCCCTTCTCTGACCATCAGGCCATGCTACCTCTAGCTCTTTGAGCTGCCCTAATAGGGACCTTGGACTGGGGGGCCTCCTCTTTGTGTGCCTCATCCAGGCACCAGGTCACCACCCTGACCCCAGCCATATGGCTCATCCCTCAGGCTGGAATGGGCTTTGGTCATGCTGCCCAAGGTTGCTGGGGACAGGAGGGCCCACGTGTTACCCCAGGGTGGGAAGTGGGCTGTGAGGTTCAAGGGAAGAGAGGGCTCCAGAGTCAGCTGCTGACCTGCTTTCCAGGCTCTCCAGGAGCCCCCTGGGGGCCTCTAGGTCCAGGTAAGCCTCGGTCTCCCTGGAAAGGAAAGGATGAGGTTGGAGGACCTCGTCCAATGTCAACAACTCAAGAGACCCTGCTACCGATCCCGTGGCTGTCCGCAGGGTCTGTGGGGGGAGCAGAGCCCACGTGGGCAGGGTGGGGAAGGGGAGCACCTTCTGAATGCAGACCTGCCCCTACTCACCTTGGCTCCTTTGCTGCCCACTTCTCCAGCCAGGCCACGGGGCCCCTCGAGGCCAGGGTCACCCTGTGAGAAGAGAGGCCCAGTTGGGGACTGAGTGGCAGCAGGGCCAGGGGCTGTGTGGGGTAGGGTTCAGGAATGGGCTGCTTAGCTCCTCGGTGAGGAAGACCCTAGTGCTGAGGGTGTTGGAGTAGCAGCCAGTGGCATCCTACAACCTCTCCAGTTCATGTCTCTGCTCCTGACTACCAGGCCTCACCCTGCACTGAGGCCATTCATAGCACGGCAGGGCCCTCCTGTCTCTCAGAGGAGGAAGCCCCTTCACCCCCATCGCAAAGGGACAATCTCAGGAGCTGCAGTGGCCACAGGGTGTGCTATCTACAGTGGCTGTTGGGGGTGGGCAGCATGCAGTGGACAGGCAGTGATCTGCAGGCCCCTCATCTGGGACCTGGGATCCTGGAGGGAGCAATCCCCCTCGAGGGTTGCTTTTGTTCTCCTGGGTGGATGGGGGTGCCGTGAGCCCCCAGCCAGATGTGGCACAGCCAGGCCTGCTCTCCGTGCAGATGACCCACCTTCTCTCCTTTGGGACCACTGCTGCCTGGGCTGCCCTTGGTACCAGGATCTCCTCTCCGTCCCTGCAGAGAACAGGCATGTTGGGTGCTTCTCCCAAGGTCCTTTAGGGCCAGAGCTACGGAGGGATGGGGCTGTGCTGGCTCCCCTGTGGTCCCAGGCAGGACTCTGTCTACAAGCTCCTCTCAGGGCCCCAGCCTGGACCTTGGGCTCTGCCCTGGACCTTTGTGCTTGTGCAGGGCCAGCTGTGTCCCAGCCGAAGATTTAGAAATGATGGGGTGGAGGCACTGTCAGGCTGTAAGTCCTAGGTGAGTTGAACCTGGCTTAGACCGAGGATGAGTGCAGTCTCCCTGGTTTAGGCCCAGGCCAGGCCTTGTCCTTAGCTGTGTCCCCTAGATGATTAGTCCTGAGAAGCCCCCACCTACCCTGAGGCAGGCCACGTGGGACTCACGAGTGTATGGCCCCCTCTGTGCTGGGAGGGGGACACAGAGGCACATCTGGAGACACTGGAAATCTTGAGGCCTGGAGCAGGGAACTGAGGCAGCAGGGTTGGGCCACTGGGGGACCCACAGGGACTGTAGGGGTGGCAGTTGAACTCACCGGCTCGCCTTTAGGTCCACGGGGCCCAGGTCCACCCTTGGCTCCTTTTACACCTGGGCTCCCAGGGGATCCGTTGTTGCCTTGATATCCCTGTGGGGCGAGGGAGGGGGCAACTCAGCAGGTGGTGGCTGGCACTGGGTGGTGAGCCCAGCTGCATGTGGGGTACAGCCCTATTGCCTTCCAGTGGGATCTGGAGGTCTGAGGGCACACAGCTGGGCCTTTCCATCCCATCATGTCTGTGGGGTCCAGCAGGGAACCACCAACCTGCCATAGGCAGTGGGCGTCACTGGCTGGGCTGCAGAGGTACAGGGGGACCCACCTTGCTCCCTTTGGCCCCGCTTTCTCCTGGGGGCCCTCTGCGTCCTGGGCGGCCGGCATCCCCCTGGAAGGGTTTGGAGGTCAGTTTCAGGCACCTTGGCAGCAGGCAGGACCCCAGCAGGTACTCAGGATGCCAAAGGCTATCCAGAGGCTGCCAAGGGACCCTCAGCACCAGTCCATGCATGAGGTACTCTGAGCCTTCTCGGTGGCAGAAGCCCTGTGTGGCTCGAGGTCTGAGGGGAGGTGGGGAGGCCGAGGGGTCTGTGCATGCACAGGGCTTCCAGGGGAAGGGCTGCTCTTCCTATTTCTCAGATTCTGGGCAGCCAGGGATGAAGTGACAGCTCTAGTGTCCTAGGAGGGTGGAGCTCCCACATACACAGGGAACCTACAAGAGGCTGGGTGGGTCTCCACCCAGGTTAAGGAGGCTTGTGGCTGGGGCCCATCTGGGCAACTACAGAGCATCGCAGGCTGGTCATGAGCTGGCAGACACCACCTGGGTATCCTGAGGTCTTCCTGGGCAACCCATGGCCCTTTGCTCCTGACCGACATCTCCCAGAGACCTGAGCCAGGGGCAGGAAGAAGACCTGGAGGTGGTGGCCTGGCTGCCTGGCCCTTCACCTTGTAAGGTCACCCACCTTAGCTCCTTGGTCTCCACGCTCACCCGGGTTCCCTGCATCCCCTGGGTAGCCGTCAGGACCCTGGAAGAGAAGGGAAGAGGTGGTGTGGGCACAGGGTGAGGTGCTGCCCCCACGTGAGCTGAGTTCTCCCTTCAAGCCAGATACCATCCTACCCAAGCTGTGAGGGCCCTGCTCAGCAGGACCCTAGCCCACAGGGCTAGGCCCCAAGTGGCCCTCAGTCCAGAGAGGGAGCAGTACAAGAGTGCTGGAGTCTCAGGGCCTCGGGACCCACCTGGCCCCAGAAGGTAGCCCAGAAGCTCCTGTGCTGGGGTTAGGCAGGACAAGGCAGGGCAGGGCAGGGCAGGGGCTGGGCCAAGAGGAATGCAAGTGTAAGTGGCATCACTTTCCTGCCCATCTGGCGACTCTGAGGTTTAGTGTGGGGTGGGGTGTGATGTCATACTTACCCGGCTCCCAGGGTCTCCCTTGCAGCCTGGGGGTCCGATGCGCCCCAGCTTGCCCTGGAGGGGGAAAAGGGTGAGAGAAGCTCAGGGTGGGATTGTGTGTGCCAGCGATGGAGGCACAAGGGTGGGTGTAGCCCGGGTCACAGCCCGTGGGCATGAGCACGATTCTGTGAAGACTGCTGTGGGGCTGCCTCTGTGAAGGCACAGCAAATCCCTGGGACATGGCCAGGTCCAGGAGCATCGAGGGTCCCCTGCTGTGTGTGCACATGTGAACTGCCAGGTCAGGCCAGACCTGGGGGTTCTTCAGGGCTGGCTGGGATGTTCCCATGAGACCAGGCCCAGCACTGGCTGCAGGTTCACTCTACCTTCTGTCCATCAGTCCCATTCTTGCCGGCGAAGCCAGAGGCTCCCTGGAGACAGAGGAGAGAGGAGTCCCATCAACCCCAATCCTTGCCCCTCACAGCAGCAGAAAGGTGGGGCACCTGCCTGCTCCGCCAGCTTACCTTCCGTCCGTCGGCCCCAAATTCACCCTGTGCAGAAGGAAAGCAAGGCCAGTTAGTTCAGACAATGCTGTCACTGGAACAAAAATTAAAGCCTTAGCCCAAGCAACCAGGCCCAAACTACCACTGACAAAAGCCCAATTCTGTGCCCCCAGGGGTGACCAACAGGCTTTGACGGACGCTGCTGAGATGGTCTGGCCGTGCTGGATTGTGCAGTCAGAACCTCACCTTCTCTCCTTTGAGGCCGGGGACACCCTGAGAGCAGAGGAAAGAAACCACATTAGATGGTAGGACTAGGATGGGGCTATGATGGGATCTATGATGGGTTATGATGGGATTAGGAGGGGGTCAGCAAGGGATTATGGTGGAATATGATGGGGCTCTTTATGAGAAACAGACAGGAAAAGACAGGCTGAGACTGACCAGGTAAAGGGGAGCACGGAATGGGCTGTATTTGGAGACTGGAAATTGCATATGGAGGAGACTGGATGAGGAGTCAAGCTAGATAGCAGGTTTTGGGGTGACCTTCAAGCTATGGAGGTGCTTATCTGCCTTGGTAACAGGTGGATGGTGGAGGGAGGGCTGGGCTGGAGACATCAGGAATGCTTTTGGCGAGGGCAGCGAAGGGCAGGGGAGCCTGCCCCAGAATGCACTGGGTCCCTGAGGCCACACCAGGCTCACTGGCATTAGCCTCACTAGGAGCCCAGGGGCCTGAACCTACTCAAGGGCAACTTACCTTGGGTCCTGGGAATCCAATGGGGCCTTCAATGCCTGGATCTCCCTGTGGAAGAACAAATAGGGTGGATGTGACCACAGCCCTGGGTGGTGGTGCAGGGTCAAGGGGGTTGGGGGATGTAAGGGTTCTTACCTGTCGTCCCTTCTGCCCAGGCTCTCCTGGTTCTCCCATGTTGCCCTTGGCACCCTAAAAGCAGACAGCAGAGAAAGAGGCAAACTGAGGCAAGGTAGGGTTTAGAGTGTTTCTGAGAGATGGCACAGTGAAGGCTATTGGTTCCCCCAGGGTGGAGACATTTTTGAGTTGAGTCAGTTGTGCCAGTTGAGTCAAGGGTTCCAGCCTCCCCAAGGGGGGTCTTCCCTGTGTACCTTAAGCCCTGGTGGACAGCTTCCCATGGGGTCTCTCTACAAACCTAGGCCAGAGCAGTCCTTTGTGTGGGAGTGCCCAACACAGGGGATTGCTTTGAACATAGCCAACACTAGGCCCAGATTCTCCACCATCACTTGAGTCATATTCACCGTGAAATTAATTCCCCTAAGTACCTTTAGATAGTTTATGGCTTCAGAAAAATCATATAAAGATTACATGCCCTCAAAAATTTAGCTATCTAATATAGGATTTTTAAAATAAATGCATTTATGTATCAACATGCTTCCCATTTAAGTACAAAGAAGGGTAGAGGAAAGGGAAAGAATTAAGAGGTTAGAGGAGGGAGGCGAGAAGAAGAGTAAGCAAAACTCAGAGGTGGGACAGAGGCTTCCAGGGCATCACAGCTGTTCTGGTGTCTTCTTGGCACCTTGTTGTCCACTGTGGTCACTGCCACCCTCACTGCCTCTCAGACTCTAGCTGCAGGTAACCTTATGGCAATTTCCATACACCTGCCTGCCCCCTACCTGTAAGGATGGGGTCACTGAACTGCCATGCGTAGCCAAGGCTGCCCTGAATGGCAAATTCATTCCTACCTGTAAATAGGTCTGCATTGCTGTCAGGACTCAGGGAAAAGGCAGGAAGTGGAGTGAGGGTTTGGATGGTGGCCGGGAGACATCTAGTTCTGTATAAGGTGCATGTAGACACCTCTGGGGCTAGACAGCTTTCATGCAAATTTAGAAAGAAAACATGGAGCTACCTAGCCATAACTCCTCTGTAATGTTATTTTAAATTCCTTGTCTCTTCTCAGAAGTTTCTTTCCTCTCCTCTACCTTTCTTTATAATTTCTGACAAACATGCATCACTGAAGTTTCACATACTTGAGGTGAATTTTGGAAGGATTTTATTTTACATACCTCTGTTGTTAGGAAAACACAAGGCCATTCAAACCAGACTCCCTAAAACTCACTTATTTACATGTAATGAACTATAGAAGTGGGTGCTCTACTGTAACTGGTAGTTATATTATTAACAGAAAGGCATTTCATATTTTATTTACTTGAGTATGCTGTTTATAAAAGATTTTATGGAATATCTCAATAGTTTCAGAAAAGATCCTACTTTTCTCAAAATTTCATTCAAAAGAAAGAGGACACAAATTGAATTTGTTTCCCAAAAGTCAAAGTATTGAGACCACCTGAGCACTGCTGGCCCTAGATACATGGTTCAGAGACAGGACTGGGTGTCTTACCTTCTGTCCACGGTAGCCCTTGGGGCCGGGGGGCCCAGGGATCTCCAGGCAGCTCACCTTATAACACTGAAATGAGAAAGTGGACAGATGGCATTAGGCTGTCAGGCAAGTTTCCTGGTGCAGGTGAGGGCCCAGGACACATGTAGCCCATGACTCTCAGAGGGAGCCAGGAATTCTCTGTTGAGACCACTTGAGCTACGATGAAGGAGCAGATGCAGCAGGTATGTGCCCACCAGGGACAGTGTGGAGAGTCTGGTTTTTAGGTAAACATTCTACTCAAGCTTTGGAAAACCATAGCTGGATTAAGCAGTGATGGATGGGGGGAAAGGATTAAAGAGCAAGGGCGCTTGCCAGCTTGGCTGTGTACAGGGATGAAACCACTGAGTGTGGGTAGTGTTCCTAAGAAAGGGCATGGTTTTATAGGAAGCCTGGCTGGGTAGAGACCTCAGAGGCCTGCTCCTCTTCCCCAGGCTCTGGAGCTGAGGACACAGAGGGACAAGGGGGAGATCATGGGCCTGCAGCTGCAGGTGGCTGAGCTGGGCATGCCACCAGCTCAAGGCTTGACCCTAGATTCTCAACCTCTCCACTTCCAGGACGTGCAGTGGATGACCCTATGTGGATCCCCAGGGGATTTGAACATCCTGGTTTTGGCCCAGATCCTTTTGTCCACAAACTCGAGTGCCCAAGGCCCAATGAGGAGCAGATGGATCCCTGCTCTCCTCTCGTATATTCCAGCCCCTGGGGCACCAGGAAACAGCAGCCAGTGTGATCTTTGCTGGGTCAGTGGCCTCAGAAGCCCAGAGGGCAGCACCGTGGAGGACTGGCAGAAGAGGTCCACTCACCTCTCCATAGGCTTCATGTTTCTGCATAAAAGAGAAGGAAATTCTGGTTAGCCTGAGTCTGACATGCAGACACCTCGAGTCTGGGTGGGTTTGCAGGGTGCTCTTCAGTCTTTTCATTCAGAGGGGTAAACTAGGCCTCAGCCTGAGAACTGTCCATGCCATGCCCTGCCCCCTCTCTGCAGGCCCCTGGCAGCTCACCATGACCTTGATGATGCGGTTGATGGTGTCCTGGTCAATCTCGGAGTTGGGTTGCATGGTGGCGTAGTTGCTGCGGTACAGCTCGTGTGGCGTACTGGCGATGTCCCGTAGGCCCTGCTCATTCAGGTTAACATTGGGGGCCACAGCAAAGAGCCGGATGCCCTCCTCGCGGGCCCTCTCAGCCTGCATCTTGATGCCGCCACAGGGGCTGCCGGTGACATGGCCGTCAGTGATGACCACTGCGAAATTGACCACATCCTTGCTCACATGCTGCCGGATCTCACTTGTCATGTTGGCCAGAGCACAGTCGGTGAAGGTGCCACGGCGGAAAGAGCGGATGCCCTGTAGACTCTTGGTGAAGGAGGCTCGGTCGCTGCCTGGTGGGCTGAAAACCTCCACCTGGTCCGAGAAGTGCAGGCCCCCGTAGCGCCAGCTCAGCCGCACCTGGTCCAGGTAGAACTCGTCCTGCAGCTGACTAATGAACTGAGGCACAAACTGCTGCATGTGGTACAGCAGGATATCGATGGGTGACTGCATGGTCACACTCTCCGAGGTGTCCAGCACGAAGTACACATAGATGGGGCAGTCGGTCTTCTCTGTGGAAACATGGCATCATGGCTGCCAGGAGGGCTGAGGCAAGATCCAGCCACCTGCCTGGCTCCCAACCCACCTGCAGGTACCTGGGCAGTTGCTGTTTCTCTCGGAGAGGCCAGGCGAGATGACCTCTTGCTGCTGGGCGCCGGCTGCTCCCAGGAGCCCCCAGAGCAGGAGCATGTAGCAAGGGCCCTGCAGCATCTTGGCGGCACTGTGACCTGAGGTCCTGCAGCAGGGAAAAGCGCCGCTGCAGACAGAGCTCCCACACTGCATGGCCACCCCTCCTGGTTCCTCCCCTGGGGGAGGCAGGCGCCTGAGCACCTGGGCTGGGAGCTGTGCCCTCTCTCCCACCCTGGGTGGGGCTCTGTTCTGGGTGGGCTTTGGATGTTTAAGGCTCTTCCCTATCTTCTGGAGGCTGGGCGCAGTGGTGGAGGGAGGGCGAAGCAGGAGCAGGAGCAAGTCTCCTGCTTCACTCAGGAAACCCCAACGTCAAGTCCTGCGACGGGGAAAGTCACTCTCCCTTCTGCTTGGTTTCTCTCCATTTAAGTGGGACACTGATAAGGACAGAGGAAGGGTTCTACAAGTGTCGTCTGGACAGGGTAGCATGTTATCAGGAGAGCTGACTAAGTACCTGGAGCAAACATCTCCCCTGGGCAACCTCCGTGTGTCCCATTGCTTGGTCTGAGCTCTGGCTAGTGGCTTGAGGGGGCTGTCATGATGAGCCCAGAGCTGGCCTCACTGTGCCCACTGGCCTGGATTATTTGTGGACTATATGCTCCCCAGAGCAGGGCTGACAGCAACCGAGCACACGGACCTGGTTCAAAATACTGAGTTCAAGGAGTTGATGGGCGATATGCCCCACCACTGGAACCTGGGTGGGGACTGTCCAGGTAAGGACACCAGGAGACACTGTGGCCCTTGCCAGGCTCTCTTTTGGGCTGCCATGTCATGAAGACACTCAAGCAGCCTTTGGAGAAGCCTATGTGGGGAGGAACTGAGGCCTTCGGCCAACAGCCATGAAAGCAAGATCCTTCAGCCCCAGTCAAGCTCTCCAATGACCGAAATGACTATACTTCTCACTAGTCGCTTGACAACACCTCATGTGAGACCCTGAGACAAATCATCTAGCTGAGTGGTTCCTGAATTCCTGACCCCCAGAAATTGTGAGAGAGGAACTGCTTATTGTTTTAAGTCACAAAATTTTCAGACAACTTGTTATAGATTTCTCCTTCACAATATTGTACACAGAAGACAAAGAGACAATGATAGAATTTTAAAAGGAAAATAAAATGACCCAGGAGGTCCGCCCAGCCAATTTCTCTTTCATGTTCAAGAATAACAGTCTCAGGCATAAAGGGGTTTATGCTATTTACGTGCCATTCCTAAAATAACTGCAAGGGATTTCTGCAGACAACAGAGGAGTGAATAAAACTTAATAAAAAAGCAAACTTGAGAAATAGAAATGCAGCAACAAGAAGTCAGAAAGCATAAAGTAAAATGCCAGAAATATTAATAGATTGATTTTGACAATAAGTGATAATGGCTTAAATTCTCCTGTAAAGACAAAACATTGGGACAAAATATGAAACCCATCTCAGTGAGACTCGTGAGTTACACTGTAAGTACAATGTCTCATAGGGTACAAGAAAGTGAGGTAGCTAGGGGTAGATACGAATGGAAAGAGAGGTGCAGTACTGTATGAGAGCATGCGGAATTTAGGGCAAAGGGTCCAGAGATAAGGGCAAAGAAAGATCAAGGCTGTGTTCTAGTTATAAATCTTTTTTGTGGGTGTGTCATAAGGTGCATCTGTGTGCTCCAGAGCGAGAGAGATAGACAGAAAGAGGGAAAGTGAGAAATCATTCCCAGAGGGGACAGACACAGTCCCTTCTCCTTTCTCCTGGTGAGATTTTGGGCATGTGTGCACATGCACCCAGCATAGTTTCAAGCCAATGGGTCTGGGACTTGAACTGCAGCTGACCATGTGGGAGTTCAGCACCTTAACCACTAGGTCCCTTGCTGGCCCCTAGTTCCACATCTTCACGTACCAAATTTCATAACACAAATGATATAAAGCAACATGTGAAAAATCAAAGAAAATGTACAAACTGCAGTCACTTAAAAAAAAACTTTGACTCACTTTTAAAATTACTGCCATATCACATGAACATAAAAAAATAAAAATGAGGATCTAAATATCATGGTTTGTGACACTTTGGCAGTAAGAGAAGGGAATATATATTTATTAAACATAAAGGATTTGATTAATGTGTATAATACACACACACACACACACACACACACATACACACACACACACACCTCTATATATGAAACCTGCAGGTAGGCATACACATTCTTTTTAAAATTTCACAAAATTTAATTCTAGAGTAAGTGAAAAAGAGTTTTAATTAACTTTTTAAAATTGAAAATTGTCTAGATTAAATTCTCTCAGCCATAATATAAAAGAAGTCACTAATGAGACACAGGAATAATCAAAGCACACAGAAATGTACAAACCAACCATCTCTTGTAAAAACTACATAGGTTGGGTCAGTCAGTGGCATGGTGGTTATGGTGGCTGGATCTCAGATGGTTGACATTGTGGTTTGAATCTTGGACCCGGTAGTTTGAGAAACATGCTGGGCATGCATGTATGGGTGCCTGAAACCCCCAGAGGAAGGAATGGAGGAGAAGGAATTGTAGTGTGACCATTCCCGACAGGATACTTTCTCACCTTCTCCCCCACCTCTCTCTCTCTTACGTCCTCTGGCAAATTAAAAAAAAAAAAAAAAAACAACAAAAACTTTACAGGACTGGTGACGATGAAAATGATACACATAAAAACAAAGACGAAAGGGCCAAAACTATGCTCTGTGAAATTATTTAACATCACATGCCCAGGATCCCAGGAGGAGAATGGAGGAGAAGGGATTGCGGCGTGGCCATCACCCCTGGGGGGTGATTTCTCGCTTTCTGTCTCTCTGTCTCTCTATGCCTATCTGGCGAGTGCATGCACCCTATGGCAAAAACCTCTTCAAAAAAAAAGAGAACTGATTTAAAAATATAATAATAAATATGTCTAAGAGCTATTTCTTTGGAAAAGGCCAATAAAACAAAAAAAATTTTTTTACAAGTCTAGTCAAGAATAAAAAAGATAGGGGCCAGCAGGTGGCATGGTGCTTAAAACCCTGGACTCCCTCCTGGCTGACCCTGGTTTGTGTTTCGGAACTGGCAGCTTGCTTTCTCATCCTCCCCTTCCCCCCATCCCCCCCACCGTCTCTCTGCAAATTAAAAATAAACAATAATAATACATAAAATTTAATAAATAATTCTTTAAAAAATTGAAAGGATAAAACACAAATACATAAATTTAAGAATGAATAAATAACATCTGATAAATGAGGAAAATGTTTGTTTGTTTTCAAGCACAAGCCTGTAAAGCTTTATGCTAATAAGAAAGGTCCTTGCCTTGGGAAGCTTGTTGAGATGAAGTGCGTACCTAGCTAGACTCTGCCTGGAAGGAATGGTAACACTGCAAAGATCTAATTCATTACTCAAAGGTTCTAGCCCAGGCAGCTTTGGGTTAGTTTTTTTTTTTTTTTTTTTTTTTTTTTTTTTTTTGGGGTTTTTTTTTTATGGCGGGAAAGAGGTTTTTGCTATAGGACGCGTGCGCTCACCAGACAGACAGAGAGAGACAGACAGAAAACGAGAAATCACCCCCCAGAGGGGATGGCCATGCTGCAATCCCTTCTTCTCCATTCTCCTCTTGGGATCTTGGGCACGCATGCACACGTGCCTGGCATGAATTTAAGCCACCAGGTCCGGGACACGAACCGCGGTCGACTACGTGGGAGTCCAGTGACATAGCCATTACACTAACTGCTGGTCCCAAAAAACCCCACATTTTTAAACACAGTATAATTTGAGACCAAAACTTGATAAAAGAAATTCCCAAAAGTGATGCTATGGAAAAAACTCCATTTTGAATATAGTTATAAATTTTTTAAAATAATTATTTTATTTTAACTTTATTTTTTAATTTGACCAGAGAGGGACCAAGCGAGAGAGAGAGAGAGAGAGAGAGAGAGAGAGAGAGAAAGAGAGAAAGTGAGAAAGCAAGTTGCCTGGTCCAGGACTTAAACTGTGGTCACCCATGTGCCTTAACCACCACACCACCTATCAGCCCCCAAATTTTAACTAATACTAGAAAATAAAACTCACTAGCATATTAACAACCACTATACCAGAACTAAGATAAAATTAGTTAATAACAGTGATACAACAAACACGATGAGGTCTATTGATGTGCGTCACATTAACATAAAAGAGAAAATCATCCTATTACTTTAATAGAGTCCCCCAAACATCCATTTCTAACAAAATGAAAATCAGAATATAAAACCTAAACAAAAAACAGACAAGGGAAAAATCTCACAAAAAAATTGAGAAAACCAACATTACAAAGAACATAAATTACAAATCAGTAGCTAACACCATATTTTACACAGAAAACTAAAATAGTATTTCTTATCTTTGTGTCATATAACTCTTTAATAATCTGGACAACTTCACCTAACACAAATACATAGAGACCATGTAAAGAAATCACATCCATGAATTCAGGGAGTCCATTCAGGGAGTCCCCTGGATCCCTGGATTAAAAATTCTTGCATTAGAAGAATGCCTGTTAGAATATATATAAAAAAAAAAGAAAGAAAGAAAAGAAAAAGAGCAAAGAGTACTGATCTCACCGTACTAATCAGTGCTGTGTTATAAACCAATGTAATACGAAATGAAAAAGAAACAAAGTATAAAGAGTGTAGGAAAGGAAATTTGGGGAAAAAATGGAGAGGTAAGGCATTTGTGGGACACGGATATGGTTTATTATTTGTTGGTGAGGTCATGCATATGTGCATATGTTCTCAACTGGGCTGGACTGAGGTGTGTGTCATGCTGGGTAAAGTCTCTTTATAATCTAAATAAATCTGTAGTGATTAAACGTGTAAATAAGAATTAAAATTAATAAATAAAAAATTATTTTAAAATATGAAAAAAAGAAACAAAGTATAAATGTTAAAAAAGGATATAAAACTGTCCTTAATAAAGAATTTAGTGACCTAGTTATAAGAAATATCTATAGAAAAAGCTACTGATTTTCTTGTGCTATTAACAACCAATTGGGGTGGGGGTGGGGGGGTAGGGAGACCAACAGTTGGCGTAATGGCT